ACTGTCATCCACAAACTCACTTAATGTGAATTCAAGTCCTGTATCCAAATCATTTGTAAGAACACTTTAGAGAACTGATCCTAAAATGGAGCCCTGGGTTACCTCACTAGTGACTGGTCACCAGCCTGATGTAACTCCCTTTACTATCTTTTTTCTTTACTACTCCTGTAATTTCATGTGTGTGTGACTGCAATGCTTAATTTCATGTCTCAGAAACACAAAACAGTGCTTGTGCTGGAATTCTCTTGATGTCAGCTGTTTTGCTTACTAAAGGCAGAGACTCTTCTATCCTTTGATTACCGTCCAGCCAGTCTTCAATTTCTCCGTAGTGAAGACTATTTCCTTTCTGAAAGTCTTGACCACTGTGAAGGGGACTATTTTCTGACTTAACTTCTGAAGGACATTCAGACTGATTAGAAATAAGTGATAAACAGAAGATCTGCCATTGCAAAAAAAGTAAGTGAAAATAAGGGAAAAAACGACTGATTCTTCTCCTTTTAGTATCAAAGGATTCTCTTTGTTTTTGCAAATGTTTGTTCACCAGAATGTTCCAAAGTGAAAAATGTCAGTAGCAAAACCTTATTCACTGTGTGTTTGCACAGTAATGCCTAAAGGTCCTGGAAGATCTCTGAGGATTTGAAAGAAACAAATTCAGCCAGGTAGCAGAAACAGTGCCGTTACCTTCCGGTGGCTGGTCACACACGGGTCCCACAGCACTCAGGAAATGACAACTCAAAGCAAATCAAAGTGAGCTGATTTTACAAAACATGCACAGACAATAACATTTCACTGATTGAATACATGAAAATCTCAGTGTTTGCAGCTATTGTTTCAAGTAAAGGAGATCTTAAATTTGCAAGGTGAACATTGGAAAATATTTTGCTGACTGCTATTGGACATTTCTTCTTGATTCAGCATGTCATACAGATACTCCAATACTGTTCCTGCCATAATTTCACTCAATTTCCTGAGCATTTCAGCAAAGCCACAACTAGCTCTTCATATCCATTAATTTATTCTTCATTTCGCCTGGATATCAGGTGTGATGCAGCCGTACTGTGCATTATTCACACTGAGTGAAGTTACATCAACTGTAGTCTCAGCCTGGTATGGCACTGATTCCACAAATACCTTAAAAATCAGGTGACAGTGGATCTTACTTTCTCATACACATTGGGTCACGCTGCTCCATGATGGTCTTTTACGCAAGGAGAGATGAGAAGGTATCGACAACAGATGGGATTACCTTCTGATCTGACCAGTCTCGTGTATAACTCACTCCCTTTCTCATGCTCTGTATGCACGAGCCACACCTCATATGTGCTGCTCCTCCCCTACTTACATAAGCCCTATTCCCTGATTTCCCATATGGTTGGAAGGTCAGTCGATCCCCTGACCAGTTCCCTGGAATCCCAAAGACTGTTCAGCTGCTGGGATCCATAGGGCCATCTCCTCTTTTGTGATACCTCATGAACACATTTGTACCGAGTAGGGAATATGGGATTGCAGACACCTGAGAGGTCCATGTTCTCCTTTCAGTTCCAAAACTTTTGAATCAAAAGGAACGTATGTGGTTGGAATAGCTGAGACGAAACTGAAGAGTTCTGTGAATCACAGGACTCTTGCTGAGCATCCCGACAGTTATCTTAGTTTTCACAATGACTTCACCTACCTCCATTCAGTTAAACTCAGTTCTCTGCTTGGAACAGAGACCTTGGATTACTTTGCTTTGTCTACTTGCTGACATGGAATACAGAGGAATAACAAAATTCAAGAGAGGTAAACACAGAAATGTCTACACCTCCTACCTAATGTTAGTATTTTACTTTCTAATAGGGAAAACTTGTTTTTCCACCTCAAAGTGAAATGAATTTCTGCTTGTAACATTTTACAATTAATCTAGCCCTACCAGGCTGGCATCTATCACAATTAGTTTCAGCTGTCAAGGAAAACAGAAACAAAAATATCTGCAGTCTAAACCGAACCAAAAGTTTATTTTCTGCAAAGCCTTACTCACACATCTCACAATACTCAGTTTGCCTTAATGCCGTGTCTTGTTTAGTTAAGTTTATCTCAGAGGCACTTAGGCTGGAACATTTCTTTATTAACCTACCACAGCAACTCGGCTTTCTCCTCAATTTGTGCCTTCCATCAGGGAGAATACTTCCTGCTGGATCTTTAATTGCCTGTGCTTTCCTGGAAGACAGCTCAACGTCATCACCTTATAAAAGTGGATAATCAAGAAATGTATATATTTATACATCTTTTCCCAGTCGTGTATTCCTTGTTTAAATAATTACTTGTCTCACACTTTTTTCCCTTTTTAGGTTTCTGGACCACAGAAAAGTCTGTAGATAACTACAGACTATCACAGAGACGGCCTCTATGAAGGATCTTAATTAAAAGATATTTTTTTATGTTCTAAATTAGTTTTATTTGTATAGCATTTTCTTTATGGTCCTATAACTAAGAAAGGTTCTTTAGGAAGGAAAATAAGACTACTAGATGTCCTAATTCATCTCCCCTTTGCTTCTATTTGCACAAAACTGGTACATTTAAAGGATGTGAAGTCTGAATTTTAATTTCCAGTAATGATTAATTATATACATGAACATACCATGCTGCTTATAAGTAACTAACATTCAAGACAGTAGCACTGCTGGCTTCTCTATCTTAAACACTTTTCTCCCATCCTCCATATCAGAATCACTACAAATTCAAGATCGTGATTACATGTATCTAGATCCATAACATTCAGATCCATAGCAACACTGAGTATCTCTTTTATGTTAATTTCTCTGCCCAGAGGCTTTTCTGCAAAACCAAATTAAAGAAGCCGCTGTACAGTTCCTGTAACAAGGCAATTATCTTGGAATTAAGACTAAGCAGAACACACTTCTTTTCAAAGAGTCAGTCTTCCAAAGGCTTTGGAAAGCAGACAAAATGCTGTCATTACAATGCTATCAATTGCAAAAGTTTCATATTTGCACACACCTTGTTCTAAGAAAAAAGGGCATAACCATTATGGCTGAGGTACTCTTCATCTGCAATTTTTTTTTCCTTTTTAATGAGGTAGATAATCTCCTTAGACTGCTGTTGTTGTTGCTTTTATAATGGAGTATTTCAGAAGATTTTTTTTTGCTGTTACTGCGTTTGAATAAATTGAAGGGGCTGCATCACTTACCAACAATCCCTTAGTGACACCTGCTTCAGACCTGAAGATGATAAATGCTTCCACCCCATAATATCAATGCATATTTGGACATCCGCTGAGTAAGGGCTTAATTGCTTTAGGGACAACTAGGAAAGTCCCAAATTTGGGTGAAAATTCTCAGTGAGGAGTCCATTTCCTTCCCCACCTATTTGCATAAGTTGCAGAGGGAAGCAGAGATACATTCCTTGTAGAGGAATAAAAGATCCTGCACTGACGAACCGTCCTCCCTGGTATGTATTCAGGTATATGTCTGAATAGTATAGTATAGTATAGTATATAGTATACTATATACTATAAGATATATAAGATATATACTATAGAAAGTATATCAGAAAAGAGAACACATACACAAGAAATTCAGAGCACTGAATCCTGTTCCCAGTTCACCACTCTACTAAAATGGAAGATACTGTTCTAATTAAAGGAGCACAACCCATGAGCTGAGTCGTGACTGATGCAGCTTTGCCGCTGAGACTTCCCTTGTATAAGCAGATTCCTGAAACCAGCTGCAGGACTAAGCACAGAATAGCACTGTCTCTATGAGAGGCCATAGAGAATAAGATTTTACCAAATCTTTATCCTTGGCAGAGGTGCCCATGCTACATACAAGCTTTTGCCCCAGGAGAAGACGTAACAACAAAGATCATCACATTGAGTATCATCAGAAAGAGTGTAGACTGAATGTGGAACAGAGGTGTTGTACATACAATAAATATTCAGCACAAGTAAGCTGAAAGGATAAGTACCAAAAATGGGTCCAATATCCCAAATTCTGCAGATCATTTTGATGTTAATTATAATACCAGATCAGAACTGTCAACATATCAAATTCATAAGAATAGGTCAAATTCCTGAATGTAGGAATTAATAATCCATAATGTTGGAGCACAACACAAACCATTTCCCATCACCTTCAAGCAGTGCTCTAGTTAGATTTGCTACCTGCCTTTCTAGAGCCAAAAAAAAAGAACAACAAAAAACCAAAACCCACAACCAACCAACCAAAAAAACCCAAAACCAACCCACTCTCAAAGAGGAGAAATTATTTTAAAACCCAATTGAGTAGCCAGCAGTCTATTTACTTTTTGGTTTTGGAAAGAACAAATTGAAAAACAGTACATATGAAATAACTGATGTTTGTCAATTTTTGACACAACTGATACTATCTGTAGGACAAGCACCCTGCACACCCAGAACAGTTGTGCCAGTACGGTTAGATAAACAAAAAGGTACTTTCAAGCCTGAGAGACTGTTCAACAGCACAAATAAGCATCAGAATAAGGAATAAAATGTATTTTTTCTACCCATTGAACACCAACAATAATTTTCTGCAACAAATCATTATTATCCCTGATACTTATAGTAAAGGTCGACTAGTGCATTTGTACTGGAACAAGAAAGGAAGAGAACAGGGAGACCAACCCTAGCCATTATGCAAAAAGCATGAGTGGGATATCAGACATATTACAGATCAGAGTGCAGTGCATTGGCAGATGTAGTGAGGAGGGCTCACTACTGTTCACTACTGTTGTATACTCAGGTGTAACACACTGCAATTGCAGACTGAATACCACAATACAGTAATAATACAGTAATAATGCAAAAGTGAAATTCAAGGACAATGTTTATAAATGAAAGCATTTTTTTTGCTGAAAGTGTTGTAAGAATGTTTTGGAAGTAAAAAACAAAATGCACAGACACTGTAAGAATCAACAATTTCTTGTTGTAGAGAATTAAAATATTCCTATTCTGACAACAGGAAAAATATGTTCAAAGTTTCACTTACTTTGGATGGGTATATTCATCCAGTAGGACAACTTTTTCTATCAGGTCTCCACCAACACTTCGGGCCAAGTCATAGAAATCATTCTTAGAATACGTCTCAGTAGGCAGCCAAAAGGAGATGTCATTGATCAAAGGTGGGTATCTGCTGAGCGGCTAGAAAAATTACAAAAACATACTTTTTTAAGTGGTTGGCCTCGGCAGGAATCCCTGCGACTCTGTTTTGATCTGATGTAATACACACAGCATACATTTTGAAAGCCTTCTGAAATATTTTTCGAAGAGCACACTGTTCACATAAACAACTGAGATGCAAGATTTTGTACTAGGAAATGCCTTCTGGAGATCACAAAACCACTTTGATTCATTCAGAGGAACATGACTTCTAGCTGCCATTTCCTGTTCTGTTTAATCACCCTCATTACTAGCCAACATCACGCAGGCAGACAACAAAGGTGACATCTTTGGTCCTTCTTCTCAACTTCATTTTTTTTAAAACACTGTTGAACTTACAAGGGCGCTCAAGTAAACATGAAGATTTGCAGACAGGAAAAGCATTATTTCTGCAAACTGTGAGCAAGGATCAAGTTTGGTCTTTTTTTGTTGGTGGTGTTGTTGTTGTTGTTCCTAGATGTTTTGGCTCTGAGATTTTAAAAGGAAGGAATGAAATAAAAATCTTGCTTTGATCCTGATTGCACTTCCAGATTAGAGCTGCTTAAAAAGAGGAGTTCATTTCAACATGTTTACTCTTCAGGTAAAACTGTACTTTTAAAAAGCACTTTTCAGGTTTTTCACAATATTTCATGTGTAAAATGTCTACATATTTTATATAATTGTTAAATAGCCAATCCTTATCATTTGTCCAATTTCATGCTAAAAGAAGTCTTACAAAGAGGTGCCTGCTCATCAAAAGGTTACAGTCAGAAACATATTTTGGCTTAAAAAGAAGTATCAGTTCATTTTCCAGTGAGTTTTATAGACAACCAAATACCTATAGCAGAAAGAAGTACTGCTACTAGCATAACTATTAATTCCACAAATACCACAACAGTCTATTAAACACAATGGCGAAACCATAGCATCTTTAATCTAGACAGAAAGGCCTCATCTTGTGGTTAAGGCAGTGTAATTTTTTATTTGTACAAGTAGGAAGGTTAAGAAAACAAGACAATTCACAGTTTTTATGTAACTTTCTTGAAGTCAGCATATTTCAGCTTTGCTTTTGCTGAAACATTTTCTCCTTTAAGGAAAAAGCAAATGGTAATGCTCTTCTTTCCTGCCCTTTGGGTCATGAAATACCTTAGTTCTGCCTTTCATTAATGCACTAAATTTAAATGAACTACTTTTGCAAGACTTTTGGGGGCCTGCAAGAGTTGAAAATAGCTTTTCTTATTTTGTTTATATGTTTATGACAGCTGATGTGTAGACTTCGGTCCACTCAAAAATGTATTTCATACCTGGGAATGCTTTATGACAGAACAGTGAAATCCTAATACCTACTGAAGCAATAAACCTCTTAAAAAGGCAAACTTACAGCATGCTGATCTACACAAATCCTGCTCTGTACTGTGTAAACCAGTCAACACATGTATGATAAAGAATATAGTGCAATTTTTAAATTAATAGCCCCTCCTGTGAATTAAGTTGTGAATCACAAATGATTATTCAACTTATTAAAGGAATTAAGTTATCAAATGAACTCATTTCCTGTACATCAAATAAATAAGGAACTCCCAGCATAAAGCCATCATTCAAGAGCTCTCGATGAAATACCAAAAGCTAATTAAATGTAAACACCTCCTCTGCTACACCAAAGTCACGGCTATAAATGCTGAAGAAGCTTCTCAATCAATGACCTGCTATGTGTCTTAATGTAGATGAAGTTATGATCCTGCAGACACCTGTATTCTGATCTCATCCCAGTCTACCACAACATTTACCGCTGCTGTATTTCAGCAACCTACCGTGCACATTTCAGAGCTTGCAGGGACTGAAAACTCCCAGCTTGCCAGCATTAAGTTATTTAAACAGAAACTGTGGCTCACAGGCCTAAGCATGACTGAGCACTCACTGCATTGGGGTAGGTGATTTCTTTCACTCCCACAGATTCAAAGACGCTAGAGAAAAATAATTAAATGTTCAAGTCAGTCAGTAATACTCTAAAACTCAAGAGGAACAGAGTATCACCAATTCACAGTGAGTGAGTGGTAGGAATCAATTTCAAAAGCAGCAGGCTTATGTCAGATGCATGAAAACAGCACTCTTAGTTCTACTCAAAATGTGGCGTGCACAGGGATCCAGTGTGGCCAAATCTGGTAAAGTTACCTGAAGTCTGATTAGACTAACAGCGTAATCAAATTCAAAATGAGCAAAGTGACTGAGAGATGTAATAATCTGCAGGATCTGGCCCACCTTCTAAATAATGAAATCTGTAGGAAAACTGTTTCATTGAGTTGATCCACTGAGTTACTAACTTTGAGACAGAACTGCAATTTTGTGTGTGCACAGATGCATGCTTGTGCATGTGGCGGGGGCATCATGTAGATTGGAAGAATGAATGCTTAAAGCAGTAAGTGCAACTTTTTTGTTATTAGATACTAATACATTATCAGAGCCTTCTAATACAAAAAAAATCTCTTATGGTAGAAGACAAGGCAATAATCCTATATTATACTTTCACCACCTGGCTACAGTCAATATCCCTGCAGCAAGTTTTGTATCAACACTAAAGTCAGTATAAGGATAAAACTCCTAGATCTCAGATGTATTGATCTGTTTGTTGTAGAGCTACATAATTGTTTATTAGCCACCCTTAAAATGTGAAAAGCATAGGACAAGCATTTCCAGCTGGCAGGCAAAGATGAAGTTACTGTGTTTGTACTGAGACATCCCAGCAAACATCTACTGTGTGTAGGTCACCCCTTGGGTGGTTTTGTTGGTTCTTTTTCTGTGTATGCTTTAAAAGACTATCAAGTGACCCAATAAAGGTTCAGAAAGCAGACCTGATCCCACCTGCATGAAGCTGCTGCTAGGTGCCAGTCAGCCCTAGTGGACAGCACTGCTGATGCACAGAAATAAGGATCTATACAGAATTTTAATGCAATGTAATATTCTCATTGAAATGAAAGCTACATTCTTGTAATAACTAAACTTTTCTTAATGCATTCCAGGCTGAACCAACGTTCCGGGTTATCTCAGGAAATCTAAACACGCAGCAGGCATGAAATTTGAAGTTGCAAATTTACAGCTGCAACTTAGCCCCCTCACATAATGAAGTTTTCTGTATTAGTGTGTAAGCTCATAGATTTACACTTCTGTATTTATTACCAGCGTAGACAAATTAGAGTTGCTGCAGGAAACATAATTTTGAATTTCTTGGCTGTCATGGCTTAAAATTTGCAGTCACGGTGTTCCCATAGGATAAGCATTCTCCCTTTTCCTTCACCCAATTAGTTTTTTTCCTTAGCTATGTATAGTAAGTTCTATATACTCATACATGTGTACACCCACACACATATGCATATATTCATGTATATATCGGAGCTCACACACACACACATCCAAAGGAGAAAACAGAGAAGTTTCACCAGAGAGCTTTTACAAATGCTGATAAGCAGATATGTTGTGGGATTGAATTTTTAAAAGCAGTGTGAATGGATGGTTTTGGAAGTGATGCACTGCTCTGTCCTCCTGTGGGGAGCTGCAGAACAGTGATGCTTCTCAGTGCACAGGGGCAGTGACTGCATAGTAGGATCTGTCCTCTTTGGACAGTAGTCTGCTCCCCAGACTGTTTGTCTCTGCAAGCTCACATGAAGGTATCCGTTGAAGGTATCCACATGAAGCGTCCATTGGAAAATCCCCTTTTCTCTTGATTTCAGGCACTCTGCTTGTACGCAGGGACCATTTTCGGAGTGGAAGTGGCTTCCTTCGCAAATGGATGAGAATGCTCTGAATGGTTTGAAGATCATGCGGGTGCTTCAACTGCCCCAAGAAACTTCCCACCATGAATTTATTCAGTGTTGAAACTGATTGCTTCTACTTTTCACGGAAGCAATAGAGAAAGAAGAGAATGCAAAGAAGGCATCAGCTTTTAAGTGAACAAAAGAGTGCACTTTTCTCACCCTGTTGAAACTAAACACCTGTTACAGGAGAGCAAGGGAAAAACTGAAAAGGGACTAAAATTCACGGTGGACAGATCCTCTAGTAATTATGAAACAGTGATCCAACTGAATTTTTGATTCAGCAATTCTCTCATCGCTGTAAACCAGATCAGTGAAATTAAAGAAGGATCACACTATTTCCACACTTGCTCTGCTGTTTGCCAGCACAGCAGACAGTATACTTGAGCCAGATGGTTAGATACAGAGTATCAGGTCTTCTGTCTTCAAGGAAATTACTTCTTTCACAGCATTCTACTAACTATAACATTATTAAACCAAATATCCTTTATTTTCTTACATTAGCTATTTTTCATTTTAAAGAATTATTAAGGACAGCATAAAGAAGTTGAGCTATTAAACAGAACCATGTGTATACCAAATACAGTCATCTCTGGCATGGCACAGTCAAGTCTTCTAGAGTCTGTGGAGCAAGGGGAAAGAGGAAGGATTTCCCCAACATTCCCACAGCGGTCCCCATTTTCCTTTCTGTTCACTTTATAACCAGGTTGGTTCCTTCTCATTCCCAAAGGTTTTAATTGGTGGTAGCGGACTGAAATATTTAGTTTCTAAGATTTGTTCAGGAGCCCCAGTTCAGACCCTGCTCTTTCCTTTCAGAAGAGAGCCCAAGTGAAAGCCACATATGCCACAAGTAGCATTTGCCTTCCAGTACTGCAGCTGACTAGACTTGCCAACCACAGCCACAGCTCAAATCAATTAAACAGTATCCCAGTTCTCTACTCTGGCTACTGTAGTTCACATTCCTTCATGGAAGCAAAGAAAGGGGGATGGATGTCACACTCTGCTCTAGAGATCAATACCTTGGGAAAAAAGTTATGTGTCCGGAAGAAAGGCTCACTTGTTTGTCAGCAGCAGCCTCCACCATAAAACAGCACAGGGTTACAAACAACTGTGCTGCCTCACCATGGTAAAACACTCTGTCCTGACTTCTCTCATTCCTGAGGGAAAAAGTGACAGAATTACAGAAATAAAGGAAAA